CTTTATTATTCTTTTATTACTCTAAAGTCCCCTGTTATTTTTCCCAAGTCACCTATTTTATAGAATTTGCATACTATATTAAACATGAGAATATGTGTCTTCATTATCAAAAAGTATATATGGTCACTTTTATAATACAGAGAGCTTTCAAGAAAATTTCACTAGAGGCATTTCAGATGCTCTTAGATACCCACTAAAATAAATGGTTCTAGAAAATAAATGCAAAGCTGAAAATATTTTACTCCAGGTGTCAGGTAGCAAGCAGCCCAATATTTTATTCTGACAGACCAGGAGAGTGAATTTTGAATAGAACCACAAGACATATGTATGATAAAATTGTGTGGCCATTTCTTTGGAGGCGTATAGATCACCGAAAACTCAGGGAAAGCCTCAGAAATAAAATGACTCTTGTCGATAGTAATGAGTGATGATCGTGTGGGATGGAAGGCTCACAAGGATGTTAGTGGCTTTTGTTATAATTCAGAGAAGCCCCCCAAAATAGCACATAAGATTCTAAACTCTTTAAAGCAGAAGTCCCCCCCCCACTTTCCTTCTTTCATTGCAGGATTACAGAGTGAATATCTTTCTTCGTCAGAAATGGAACGATCCTCGCCTTGCATATAGTGAATATCCTGATGACTCTTTAGACCTAGATCCTTCCATGTTGGACTCCATTTGGAAACCTGACCTGTTCTTTGCCAATGAAAAGGGTGCCAACTTTCACGAAGTTACTACAGACAACAAACTGTTAAGAATTTTCAAGAATGGAAATGTTCTTTATTCAATAAGGTGAGTTACAGACTTAAATTCCTGATTTTGTTGGAAAAGTGTTGGGTTTTCTTTATTTGCTTTTACTGAGTGTTTTGAAATTTTTGATTAACTGCTTTCATTGTTCCACCTAAATTACTTTAATGTACTATTTTCAAATATGTACAACAATATGTAATCAACAATAGCAGACCCAAGTTTTAGATCCAGAAATTGTATGAATAATTCTTGGAAATCCGCTTTTTTAACAAATAGCCCAGGTAATTAATCAGCCAGGTGGGTGAGTGATTTAAAGGCAAATGAAATGGTAGCCAAATCATACATTGTGATTACTAGTATGTTTTTATGTATCATACTCTTGTAATATTTACAGGTGAAGAAATGTAGAGATTTGTTTCTCTGAGATCCATTTTCCATAAATTATTTTTCAACGATATGTATTTTTTAAGATTTCCTGAGCTTCTCTGACTATCCTTTAGAAAAGATTTTATTTACATTTTAGTTATTTAGAAGTTAATTCTTAGAAGATCGTGTAGCCTTTTACAACTAATACCAAAATATAACAATAATTAATACCAAAACACAAACATCATGCTAATGTATTATGTTTTTCATATTTTCCTATTTCATGTGAATACATTTCCTTTCAATACATACATTACTTTCTAAGGGTGAAAAGGCGACATCACTACTCTTAACTGACACTTGTCACATTGCTGAAAACTGACTAATATGTGTTAATATAATCCTGAATAATTCATTGCTACATAAGATATAAAGGAAGATTTCAGGCTTCATCAGTAATTTATCCCTATGCTCCCAAATGAATAAATGACCTAATGGTGAATCCCAGGTAAAAGCAAGAGAATTTTAAACCTTTTTGGAAAATTACTATAAAAAGTATAAGAATCAAAAGATAGTGGGAAGATGGAACAGATGTATGGCCTCTATTCCTTCTGTTAAATATAACTAAAAACCCTACACACTATATATATATCAAACTTAAGGAGACTCCCAATGGTAGCCATAAGAAAAGTAAGGACCTGGAACCTGAGGAAACAACATTATCATAATCCATGGAGTATAATAAAAATCCCAACATTCATGTCATCAGACTCTCAGATGGAAAGGAAGAATAGGGTATAAAGCTAAAAAAATAATAGAGGAATTAAAGACTGAAATATTTGTAAATTCTATAAAAGGCTTAAACCTCCAGATCCTAGATATTGAAAGACTCCCAAAGATATTTATACCAAGTCACACTATAGGCGAACTTTTGAAAACTAAATAAAAATTTTGAAAGCATTTGGAGAATAACAACACTTTACCTATGGGGGAAAAACTATGAGACTTTTTCATCAGAAATCATGGAGGCCAGAAGAATTGACACTTTTTTAAGTGCTGAAAGAAAAGAACTGTCATCCTAGAATCCTGTACCCACTGAAAATATCAGTCAGGAATGAAGGGGAAATCATATTTTTAAATAAAAGAATACTAAGAGAATTTGTCACATGTAAACCTATCTTAAAAGTGTAGCTACAGAAGTTTTCTAAATAGAAAGGAAACAATAAAAGAAGGAACATTGGGGAGACGGTATAGGGGGGATACATGGCAATGGGGAAAAAAGAAAAAGAAAAGAAAGGAAGGAAATTGGAACATAGAAGGTAGAAAAAGGAAACAGTAAGCAAAAATATAAGTAAATACAATGATAGACATTTCCTCTCATCTTGAGTTTTCTTCATATTTGACAGTTGAAGCAAGAATTATAACATTAATGTAGGGGGAAATGAATAGCAAAAGACAAGAAAACTTAAAAAATAAAATGTATGGGCAGACATTAACAAGACAGATAATATTTAGGTTGTCTAATACCTTTTTTGTGGGCATATTACTTGACATTAACTCTTTGGAAAGATGTTTTTTATGATATATAAAAACATAAAATTCATTTACTCTTCAATTCAGCAATTTTACTTATAGGAATTTACATTACTTATGTGTTTATGTACACATAAGATACATTTACAAAGATGCCCACTTCACCACAGAAATGGCAACAGCAAATATGTCCCCTAAATATTCATTAATAAGAACAAAGTAGAACACAATGAGAGTCCCATATGATGAAATATTCTGCATGAGATAGATCTAAAGTTATTCATAAGAGGTCTCCAAAATATATTTAAATTCAAGAGAAATGTTTTATGTTTATTTGTACTTAAAACACTCTACATATCTACACTAATAAAAGACAAAGATGTTAATTGACCATAACTTCGCTATGCCATAAGCCACACCCACCAGCCAATCAGAGCGACTATATGCAAATTAACCCAACCAAGATGGCGGCTGGCAGCCACAGAGCTGGAGCAAGCAGGAGGCTTGGTTGCCCGGGCGATAGAGGAAGCCAAGCTTCCCGCCTGCTCTGAGCCGGCTGTGGCCTCCGCTTATGGCAACAAAATTTTAATTATAGAAGATAAATAAATCCCAGATAACTGCTTCCAGCCAGCCTCCACTGGGAGCTTGGGTGGCTGAGGGCTGTGGCCAGCCTGCAAACAGCCATCAGCCCCTCACCCAGGCTGGCCAGGCACCC